TGGATGCCTCCAAATATGAGAGTGAAACATGGAGGGATACCATTATGAACGATTCTCTTTCTGTTGATGTATAGCATTATATCAGGAGCGGAGTTATAGATATACTCCCCGAGTAAAAGTTGGTATTTTGAGGCGCAATTTTAACACGTATATGCTAAGAATATGTGGAGAAAACGTTTCACCGGCCGTCGACTTCTCACTAACTACCAAGAGTTAGACCCTGAAACTTGGAGGTCATGTCAGGTAAAGCATGAGTACATACCTCCCTGAGCCGCAAGATGATAGTCGTTGTGGTGGCTGTGCACGAGTCGAAAAACCGGTTATGCTAAGAATATGTGGAGGGGTGTAATCTCCCCCCAGTGCCAGATCGCCCCGTGGGGATTACTGGACAGTGTTGGTCAGATCGATACTAGGACTGCCAGGCTTGCCATCACCCATGCATTCATGCTACGAGTATGGTCACCGAGGAAAGCTCGACGGTATAAGCCTTTCCCCCGTTTTCCTTGTGATGCGCCTGAAATATGTGGAATATAATCTCATCGTATCTGTGATCAATTCTGTTTGTGAGACTTTAGGCCACAGGTAGTACAGTGGCTGCGGCTAGGCTTGTACGACGTTTTATCTACCGGCACCATAGAAGGCGCAATCTACTTTACTGCATTTCGCCGTCTGTGAAATCGATCCTACGCTCTTTTCATTCTCTTCATTATGGAGTAGCTGTTAAGCCTTCCAGCTATCATAGGAGTCGGTATGCTCAAGGCAATACACACACGTTACAAATCGATTACGATACTCGTATTCTCCCGATCACTTAGATTTCAGTGATTCTATTCCTTATCTTTTTCTCACTACGATTGAGGCTTCCACCTCCTCTTCGTAAACTTCAATGCAAAGCTTTGGTGTAGGACCTCCAGGGCCTACAGTAGAGCACCTTTTTGAGGGCTCAACTGGTGACCAGGTAAGAGCGCTACCAGCTCAGCCCACGTATACTCCTACTCTCAGAACGTTGCCACGGTCCACTTCCTTCCTCCGGGAATATCCGACCCTTGGCTATCCCTGATGCTCTTCACTGCGGCGTGGTGTGTAAGTGCATGCCTATCCATTCACCTTTACTTGTCCGCCTCAGATTCTCTACTCCATCCTTGTATGTGCTATTGGATGCCTAAACTCTGGTCTTCGGGCCACCAATCCTTCCAGCATCAATCTCACCCCCATGACGCCGTTTTTGGCCAACAATCTTACTAGCTTAGCTAACACCTTTCTTAGGTCAGGACATCCCTCAGCTGTATTCGCTTCTCATCCTCCTTCTCAGCATCACTGGAGTGTCGGTATTTGCCATACAGTTGAAAGCAGATGGTCTGAGCCTAGCCTCCCCGCGCCTTATAGTGGGTCCCCTCCTTGAGTACGTTCTCTATTGCCTCCCTTTCCGGTCTCACCATTCCTCTCAGGTATACTTCGACTTTCTATATCGCCTTCGCGGCCTATTGTGTCTATGATATGCTCTGGGTTGTCTTCCTTCAACCTAGCATCGACAAGGTGAACTGAGTTTAATCTGATCGATTGATAATTGATGCTATCAGGTCATGCTCGGTCATCACGTGCTATTTTTCGCTGTTGTTTGGCTTCTTTACTCGGAAGGGGTGTTCTCTTTACTTGCAGCCGTCCTTCTCCTCCAGGCAAGCTTCCATCTTCGTTTGATAGTTCATACCTTTCCTTGATTCAGGAGGCGTCTAGTCCTTTCGTGTGCCTGCTCCATGTTCTCAGAGAGCTAGGCATCACTGGAGGCAAGCTTTACGCAGCCAATGGCGTGGTTATGACGATAACCTTCGGCTTATTCCGGGGTGGCCCATTATATCGTCGTGGTCCCTTGGGCACGTTCGTTTTTCAGTCCTCCTTCCACTGCTCGCTATTATACACGTCTTCGTGCATTGGAACAGTTCGGCCATCAACAGTCGAATGAATTGGCGGATTATCCTCTGCATAACCCTCGTTAGCGGCGGTTATTGTCTTCAGCTGTATTGGTTCGGCAAAATCGTAAGGCATCACGCTGTCTTTGGCATCCAACGGCAATGCATCTGATAAATTTCAGGTCCGCGGCATGATAAAGCATGTGATTGACCACGAAGAACATGATTGTGATTTAGATTTGGAGGATTCCCAACCTTTACTGAAGGTGGGAGGCTGTCTCAGCGTGGTTGCTCTCAGTAAATGTCATGCTGTTCCAGGGAGGGTCGAGTAGCTCAGACCGACGGAGGTCGGAGTCATCCGACCCTATGTTGAGCGTTAGATCTACTGGAGACTCCGCAGCCGGTGCCGGCCGGTAGCTTCCTGATATACATGCGCCTATGTTGTATGAACGTCGTGTTGTCCATGAATGTTCGTGTCTTGTTACAACGATTCACTTTACTGCTGCTGTATCGACTCAGGGTGAGTGAGAGAAAAGAGAAATGACTGTTCATGTTTGGGAGAAAGGATAGAAGTTGAATGATGGGAAAATGCGATCATTAGTGTGCACTTCCTGGATCGAGTGGCGTATCTGCCCCTCAGTGCAATCGACCTTGGATCCTGGATTTGTCAAAATTCGAGGCAAAATTGTGCCTGGAAGGACCGGTTGTAACCATATTTTCGGTGTTGTCTACCTCACTCCGAAACCAACCGAGGAAATAGGCTTTAGACTCGGGGAAAGGCAGCCTTGCAACAAGAGTGCAGAATCCTTCCGAGGTTGTCCACACAGTCATGAGATGAAGCTCAGATGAAAAACTCTTCTTACCTGTTTTATTTCGGAACCGGCCGACAAAATAGGCTTGAGTCTCTCGGGAGGAGAGCCTTGCAACGAGGATACATGAGAGTTCAAGAGTGACAAACATCAGTCACAACCCCTCTCAGGAAAAATGAGGCAGGCCTTGGAATGACGTAGTCACCAACTATGGAAACTAGTCGAAAAATTAGTCTTGATAAGGCAGATCTTGTACTGGCATAGTCGCCTCTCTTACGAGCATTGATCCTAATTAGATAAATCGTGCAGTGGCATAGGCACCCCTCTCGCGAGGGTTGATCCTAATTAGGTAAATCGTGCAGTGGCATAGGCACCCCTCTCGCAAGGGTGGATCCTAATTAGCCAAATCGTGCAGTGGCATAGGCACCCCTTTCGCGAGGGTTGATCCTACTTAGCCAAATCGTGCAGTAGCATAGACTACTTCATCGGGAAAGTTGATCCTAGAAAATGTACAAGTACAACTACCCAAGTCTACTCTCGTAAATACAAGACGGACAAGCACCAATTTACAACTCGAGATCTAAGAGATGTGAAACGATATTAAATTAAATCGACTTCAGTGGTACAGTCAATTACGCGAGGACTAGAGTACGACTGATATCACAGGAGAGACGTTTGAGTAGTAAAAGAAACATGAAGAAAGAAATATTCAAAAATGTTCACTTAGATACATCGGTGGGAACTCTCTGCTGCCTGGGAGACCTAAACCCCTTCAGGAATCCCTTAGTCTCCTTATAGGCTCGTGTCCCAAGAAGAATGCAAGAGAGTCCGAGAGAAACAGGTAGCAATATAAAAACACCGTCCCAACTATAGGTAGCTATCCATGAGACTAATCCCTGCTGTACAGCGGCTCCGCATGCACCAGTGCCATCGATGATACCGGTCACTTGACTCACTGCTTTGCGGTTACCTTTGAGAGCATCTTGACGACCAATATCGGTGCATACCACACTACCGACAAGATTCGATGCACCTCCAATCAAGAAGCCTGCCAGGAGCAACATCACGCTCAAATAGACAACTGTGGGGTCGTCAACATGCAGCAGAGATACTGGGATCAAAGCCAAGAAAATAAAGAAAAAGAGTGATGGAGATCTTCCTGATCCTTGTACCCTAGCCATGTAATCTGATACCCAACCGCAGATGATACAACCAAATACCGTGCCTATGTTGTACAGCATATCGAATAGGTTGGCCTTCTCAGGAGGAATATCAGCATGTTCGTTCAAGTAAAGTGGTAGCCAGAAGAACATAGCGTAGTTTACACCCTTAACACATGCATAGGTCAGAGCGAATATCAATACGCCAGGAATAAGCCACGCTCTCCAGAACTTGATAGGATGCTCTTCATCTCGCATAGCAGGAAGATCGGCATTAACGTGACTCTCATCACTATCGCTGCTTGTAATCGTCGCACGAGTTGTACTTCCTGTACTTGAAAGGACACTCTCTATACTAGAAGGGAGCATAAACAAAGATATCAACGTCACGATAACCACGATCAAACATGGAGAAATGAAAGTCGAAGCGATAACAACCTCACCAGTTCCACCGAAAATAACAATCATAAGTGAGGCCAAACTCGAGCCGACGATGTTTCCAACCGCAGAGTTGGTTGCCCAGAAACCAAAAATCAACCCTGAGTGTAACTGATCGAAGTAGTCCCCCATAATCTTCACCAGTACTGGCCAAATGGCAGACTGAGCGGCACCATTGAGACCATTGAGTACGTAGTACAAATAATGAAAACCCTTGGAGGTATAGAGCACCATGAGAATCCCACATAGACACTGAACTGCTGCGGCCAGAACAACGAATAGCAAGACAACTAACATCGGGTTGTAGATATCACCTAGTATACCAGTAAAAAGCATTGCGATAGCGTAGGAAATCATGAAAACCACATCCATCGCGCCGAAGAACGCCGTGGGATAACCGAACTCTTCTGCTTTCAATAACGGCGCGGCACTCGAAATGGACTTGCGCATTGCATGAACCATCACATAGATGAGGAAAGTGAGAGTGAATGCTAGACCCTGGTAGAAGAGGACTGGCTTCGGGACAATGCGTGTGAGGTCGATAAGCATCTATACTCTGCGGGATGAAAAAAGGCTGGCAAGAATGATTTTGACATGCGCAATCCGTGGAGCTAGTAGCCAGCTCAAATAATCACACAAACCCGTAAGCTAGTTCTAACTTTGCATGACTTTGCATTGTGAATAGGGCTATTGTGTGCGAGGAGACAGCTCTGACTGGGATGCAGCGGAGGGGTAGAAAAACTGCCGCTTCACATATCAAAAGAGTTCCGTCGAGAGTTCCATCGTCTTCCAGGTAGGATATTTGGTGATATCCGGTAAGCTGGTGATGTCAATCGATACCATTAATCAGAAAAGCCGATACACAAAGGGTACTTCGCAGGACCTGTATGGAAGTTCACATGTCCAAATTCGACAGCCCCCGTATACGATCATAACATGCTGCATGGGCTCTAGCCGGGGGTGATGCTTTCGAGAATTTCCCAATGGTAAATCTCTTCCTTACCTTGGGAGTTGTGACAGAAAGTTTTGGTCACCACAGCACCACCCCGATGCCGATTGACATGAATTTCAGAGAAAACGGTAGATGTTCCCACCATGACGTCATAATCAATGCTCGTGCCTTTTGGATGCCCCTGATGTTGTAACTGCTAATTTGTCAGCACTCGAGCTCATCGAGGAAGAAAGAAGGTAGTGGTTATCCGAGCCGCAAGCGCTATGCTTAGTCGCATAGCCGAATGACGCCTCATTCCAAAAATTTCATACCGATCGTTCGCATTATTTGTTCCTTCCGAGTGTGATGAGGAGGAAGGATGCCCGAAATGTGGCGCACACACGAGGACTCAGAATCATCTCCTCAGGAGAGTCTCCTATCCAAGAATATCAATAACATAATACGGATAGGTTTGCTTCCAATCTCACGTCGTGGCCCACGACTCGTGGGTATACTGCGGTCGCAGGACCCCTGCAGTAGCAGGATGTAGCATTCTGGTATTCCTCTACCATTCACTGATGATGATGGACCCAGCAGTGATGACATGCAGAGCGGCCACTGGTTATCAACCTATCTGCGAGTGGGTTGCATTCTCATGCACATCCATATCAGCTTGACGAGGCAAATCAGGCCGCCCTCGGTAATGCTCGATGGCACGACATCTACTGTGACAGTCGTTGCGATGGATATACTCGTACCGCCTCAATATCATGTGAGTGAGATGATAGAATCGGTCTATCTGCAATTGATCAGTGGGTTGTAGATTCAGTCGTATTTGAAGGGAATGCAATTATGAGTTCGTGCGTTCATGCCGAAACACTCGCGTTTTGCCGTCATGTGGTAGTGGAATATAACACAGACATCTCACCAAGCTCTGCCCTGATGAGCGCGGCGACAACCAGAGACCCAGCAACGACCCGAACGGAGGGTGCTATTCAGGGACTGTGTTTGCATAGGCCACCATGGAAGTTATGAACCCATGAACTCATGCCGGAGGTGTTTGAGGAAGAAGAGTATTATTCGCTGGTCAAGAACTACCCAGACAGTAGCTAGACTTACGTCGTTTGAAGCGACTGTGTCCATTCTTAATCAAGTCAGTGCGACGGCCAACAATTGCGTATTTCAACTTCAGATTACTCGGACTTGAAAATCCCCATCCGAGTCATGCAGTAGCTGTACGGGTAGCAAGTAGCCGTGTTATCAATTTGCTGCCATTCCTCATCAATAGTGATGTTGGAGGTCCTCCTCCTAATACGAATTGACAACGAGAAACACATGAAACAATCCTGGATCCGGACGAGGAAGTGATCTGCTGCCAGGGGCTTATCAAAATAGTAAATTCGACAACATCTCGAAGTGCCATCGCACCACCAGCGTACTGTTTTTTAGGGACACAGTTTCCGTTTCTAGCTTGTTGCCATTACCCCCACGAGAGACTTCCGAACACGACACTCGCACTGGCAATATAAATAGTAATAATATTCGTACTCCTCTACTGACGTTGCTGTTGTTGTTGTTGAGCGTAGTATGCTGAGCATTTGGCAGCGTATTCGGCCATCTGTTTCTGATAGGTGGCGAGAGCTGCTGCGTACTCCTCCAACGATGATGTTGCCTTCACAGCCTGCCCAGCGTAGGGTGCCTGCCCACCTCCAGCAGCAGCAGTAGCTGGCTGAGCACTGGGCCCTGGCGTTGGTGTACGAGCCTGTTGTTGTTGCTGGCCATAGATACCAGTATACATTGGCATTGCAGTCTGCTGCCCACTACTGCTAGCAGCGCCACCATACACCCCCAGCCCTCCCGAAGACTGCACTGACTTGTACTGCTGTTGTTGCTGCTGAGTGAGACCGCTACTATATTGGCTACCAGCCATATACTGTCCAGCATTGAGAGCAGTAGCGGCAGGAGGTAGTTGTTGAGCATACGAGGTAGAGGACACAGCCGCATGTCTACCAAACGGCTGAGTCGTACCACCACCAGTAGCAGTAGCAGCGGTGGTAGCATAACTAGCCATGCCCGGTTGTTGCTTCACAGTTTGCTGACCGTAGTAGCTAGCAGCTGCTGACATCTGAGCAGCTCTAGCCGCCATATCCGCCACACTAGACTGTGGGTACGGCTGGGGTGGCAGAGGATTCCTCGACTGATAGGCGCCGCCAACTGCTGGTGTTGCTGTTGCCATCATCGTAGCACCTTGCTGCTGTTGCCACGGTCCTCCTGCTGTTGATGCTGGTGGTGCCGCCGATGACGACCTGGCATGCTATCAGCCAACAACTCCCAGATGCCACTCCTCACCCGTAAGATCCGAAACCTGCCCGATTCATTGATGCTCCCACTGCCGGCTGAGCAGTAGGCGTCTGGTGTTGAGGTACTGAGTGCATTGGTGGCCTGTTACTACTAAGAAACACCCAATACAGCAAGCAGGGCAGACCGACCTCCCCTACATCTGTTGTTGCTGGTTGTGCTGAGCATACGACCGTTGTTGGTACGGAGGTGCCGGACTAGGGTAGGGCCTAGCCACAGTAAGAAGAGATGTCTACCCCAGCGTAAGAACTATACCACCTATGTGTTCCCTGCTGTTGTTGTTGCTGTACTGGTTCCCTCCTCAACATTGAACCTCCCTGTGGCATCTGCTGCTGGTGCTGCTGCTCATACGAGGCAGCGACTCTGACAACCAACAATTACTTCCAAGCACATGACAGTAGTCCCTCTCACCTGGGCCTCTTGTCCGGTCCTCCCCCAGTCTGCCCAAGTTGCCTCTTATCACTGTAACTGGCATGACTAGTCATCCACCCCTAGGCCCCAACCCAGTACCCCCACCTAGCCGCCACTGCTGACATCCTCACCGGCGCCGCCTTTATCCTGGCTTCTCTCTCACGCTCCTTTTCCTTCGCCAGCCTCTCCTTAATTTCCTTATCTTTTTCAAGTTGTTCCTTCATCCTAGCCTCCCTCTCCTTGGCCATCCGCTCAGCTTCCTCCTCCTCCCGCTTCGCTCGCTCCTTCGCATCGATCTCCGACCATACTTTCTGGCAGGAGTCATTCTTAGCATCCTGAATCAAAGCAACATCCATAATTTCGTGGCGCGCGAAAATTACCATAGCAGAAGCATGCCATCCTCCTGTAAACTCAGCAGTCTCCTCTCCTCCCCATCCTGCCACTTTAGCCGTATACTGATACTCCTTATGCAGTTCATCGCCATCCTGGACCTAAAAAGCATACGATTAGACAACCACACCGCCCCCCAGCCCGACTAGACAAGGAACAATCAGCCATTAAGTAGCACCTCTCGCTGGGCCTCAGTGAAGGTGATGATCTCCTTCCCCTCATCTCCTCCTTCTTTCAGCACGTCCTTCAGCCTCGCCGTAGTAGCCGGTATCACGGAATTACCATAATTACTACCTGTCACAATAAAGTGAACATAGAAAAAACAATACCATGAATAGTAAGAGTAAGAGAATATACAAAGGATCTCAACAGTGACAAATACTACATGTGATACAAGACCGATCAAGACTACTGCGCTAATGTGCCCTTCCAAAATGATAATAACACTACTGATGACGGAAAAACTACAAAGTGCTTATGACAAGTTGTCGAGCCCATCCTGAATCTCCCAACTGAATCTCAGAGTTATGGCAACTACCGCCGTGAGCAGGCTTTCAACGTTTCAAGAATCGGGTAAAAGGTAGGTATATGATAGGTAGAAAATTTCAATGCCGTTATCTCCCATCGTGTGTTCCCAGAGAGTCCTATAGATATTCCCTGCGATAGAATTCAGAGCTAAATGCTGATGATCATCTATTTCCCGTCTGGGATCGTCAATGCTATCTCCCATGTGTTTATTTTACCCGTAGGGCACTAGATTAGTGCCCTAAACCGTAGTTGGGCATAATAACCGTATTATGTCCATCATGAATCTTCCTCATTGGGGTCTTGGGCCTACCTTATCGCTCCTGCCCACATAGATCCCACCTGCACTAACGGACTCGATGGGGAAGAGGCAGTTGATGAGGACAGCATCACTGGGAACAACAATGAGGAGCCCGCCGCTACGGCCAACGACAGTGGTCTGCTATACTAAGCTATTGGCCCCTTCCCATCATATTAATCATCCCATTTTAGCAAGAATAACAGCTCCGTCCGGACCACGCGCGTTTTTCTTGCACACATTTCTACTGAGTGACCCTAGTGGACAGCCGAAATATGAGAGACTACCAAGTAATATTCCAGCCTACGTCCGCCAGTCGGTGTTGTAATTACTAACCCTTCTAGGCTCAGTCATAGCCCTACGCCAAGCACTGCTAGTACCCAAGCATTCATCCTAGCGCATCCTATACCGACCTCATCGATGCTGTATTAGATGTGATCATACTATGAATGACCATACAAGTTATTGTTCATAAGAAAGGCATAGACGACGATTCAAGAGTTGTTATAAAAACAAAGAAGATGACCATAAGCCCAAATAGTATTATTATTATTACTGTTCTTTTCCAGTAGGTCATCCAATGGTATTCCCTTCAACGTTATAGCCGCATGTGCCGCTGCTTGGAGAGCTAGACGATAGTCCGATTGATAACCACCATCAAAGTCGATCCTCCCACCCCCATTAGGCTGCTGATACCACCATACAACACAACGATAGGGGAGACCCTGAGGGGCAGCAGCCACACATACTGACGACCCCAGCTACCACCACCACCACGATGACCCTTTACCTTCTCCATCATCTCCCCTCTGTTCACCGAATAATCATCCACTTCGAGCTGAATACCATGTTGCTGCAAATATCTAGACAAAAAGTATCAAAATCTTAGCGGAGCGAAGTTATTCCGAGTACTCTTCCAATGCCTTCTTAAAATCAATGGTATAGAGGAGCACTGAGGCAGCCCTGAGTTCCTTCCTCTTAGCATCAGCCTTAAGCGCAACACGTCGCCTCTCCTCGTCATTGAAATGAGTGTCACCACCAGAGGTTGGCATTCTATACTGCATCGGTGGAGGCACCGGTACTGGCTGAGTTCTGAGGGCAAAACTTTTCACGCGCCACGAAATTCCGAAATCGTGCTACGGTAGGACACTGCGAAGATACGCGATGCGACTACTGCCGTTGTCCATCTCATATTCATCATAAGCAATAGGTCGTCGAGGCGGAGTCGTCACAGAGAAGGCCGGAGCACCGAGCTCAGGAGGGAGGTACCTAACGCTACTAGTCTCTCATAGCCACTCCGACCAATACCAATCCTACACTTGCGTTGGTGGTTCATTGTGTATAACCTCTGATGACCTGATACAGAGATATGCACCCTAAGAAAGCGAGGTTCTTGTTTACCTTTTAGCAACTCCTGAAACACTTCGCTCCGCCTCTACCGACTCCACAGCTTCCCCCATATGAACATCACCATCAACAGACTTTTCACCTGGGGTAAGATTCCTTATGGAGATCGAAAAGCATATCCTAGGTCCACCCATGCAAGATACGGATTAGGTCCGCGAACAGACCAACCCGAACTCACTTAAGTCAATAACAGCAGCTGATTCCTCTCCAAGTGTCTTCATGCTCGCCGTTGGTTGATCCATTGCCAGAAAACAGCTACTATCAAGTCACCTCCTTATTCATTCCACTTGAACCACTAAGGCAGCCTCAAACAGTGTGGGAAACAAACTTAGGTAGAAGCCAGAAACTTGGGTGCTGTATTTCAATACTATACCAACTGCAATTACTGATACAAAAAGCAGCAAAAACAACAACAAGAACTCATATGGGGTGTTTTCATCATTGGAAAAACAGTGAACCCATGCACGAACGGTGCCTTGCTAGATTGAGAGACGCCTTGAACGTCAGGCCTACTGAGGCCATAGCGTTTATCACATTGAGGAGAATAGAAGTGGACAGGACCGCATTGGACCCCACCGGCCTACGGAAGAATGGCCAGTTGTCCAGCTTGAACTCAATACTTCGACCATAGAGCGAATCCTCTTTCAGAACGTCCTTCCAGACTTGAGGAGACTGCAGAGCTTCCCGTACTGCAGCAATAGCCGGGGATAAGGAGCGCTGGTCAGTACTGGTAATTCTAATCTTATTGGGGGCATTGAACATAACACTAACAACGGGGTTTACTGGTCCTCTAATATCCTTACTGGCATTCTCTGAACGACGCCAGTAAATAACAGGCAACTTCCCCTCAACCACACCGGCTATCTCGAAATTCTGCTGCCACATCACTTGCAATATATTCGACAACAGCAACCTTGTGTCCACTCTAGACTTGAAGAACGCGTCGAAAGGGAAGCCCTTAAGGACCCACTCTTCCGCCTCTCCACATTCCTGCTGTCTCGAGCACCCTCTCGGCCAGCCCGCAGCTATAGCCCCCGAAATAGCCGATACCAAAAACTGGTCCAAACCTTGATGGGGCGGTCCAAACAGCCTCACACGGTCCATCTGGTTAAAGCTAAGTCCCACATATTCCGCCCGATCGGCTTCTTGTGGCATCTTCTGGAATACCAGCTTCGGTTTCAATCCGCGACTATCAGCCACTCTAACAGAGGTTGCTAGTCGATAACCGACTCTCTTCTCCAGCGAGACCAGTGCGCCCAATACAGCCTGCCTAGCCTGGACACCATCCGAGCCGAAACAAATCCAGGGAAGGGTCTCAAGAGAGAGATCGACACCATCAGGGGACTCCTTTACCTCATCAACGACCCAAGCCGTCTCTAAACCACTTCTAATAGCCGCTACCAGAGGCTCTCGAGCCTCGTGGGGCATACCACTAGTCACTGCGGTGACGCCTGACCAACCCTGTAGAGCCAGACACAGATCTGGCAAAGGAGTGGTATCATTAGCGTAGGCCCTGAGGATCCACACCTTAAGGAAACCCAGCTTGCGATGGGATATATCAACATCAGAAACCATCCGGAATCCCGAACGCTGCACAGCCGCCAACAGACCCAACGTCAGCCTACTAGTCTCGAAGCGATCCCCTTTGAAATTCCACCAAGGGAATCCACTGAGCTTAAACTTGTGCACACCAGTAGAGTCTTTTAGGTTCTCATCCTTCTGTATGCCCTCAGCCCAACAACTATTTATGGCGTGTCTTACCGCGTCCACCAGATGCTGTGGTCCTCGTTGAACATAAATCTTATCGTAGCCCAGTATGGCTATACTACAGAAGCCTGCTGAAGTTGGCACGAAGGGATAGGCCTCTTGGAATTCCACCTTGAACACCATATAGGAACAGTACTATGAAACTGATACGATGATGAGAGACCACCCAAGGCGTACGAATAGCGAAAACCGCCACTACAAAGTCGAATTTTCAAGATGCTCAGCAACATCAACACGTTAGCAATGTAGCTTGCTTGACAACCTAAGATTAGAGCAATCCCTGAAAGCCCCATTCCCATCACATTCCCCAAGCATACCAGACACTACCATTTTGTGATATACCAATTCGATAAGAAACGGCAGCCTATGAACGTGAGCTCAACGAATAGAGGACAATATGGCTACAACCCCTCACCAACACAACGAGGCCATCTAGGCAAAGACAAAACTTTAAATGGAATATCAAAGATGTAATATCAAAACTGTATCGACCGAAGACTGCCCTTCCCTCCACAGAAGCATAAGGCAGTGACTCACTTCCTTGTGAAATAAAGAGAAGAGAGTTCCTCCCTGTACTTACTGTTATCGGTGAAGATACATAGGCTCGAGAGGTCCAGCGATGTCTTCAAGTGCCACCCCAACTCGGCCATAATGTTGACAACAGTGAGCAGAACAGCTGTCGCGTACATAGTGGTCTTAGGCCCAGGCATCCACGTGTGGAAGGGAGACTTAACCAGCTGGAACTGAGCTGACCTGCCGTAACTGCCCAGGTCTTGGACCGCCTCGATAGGGAACTCTGGTGGGCAAAAAGCCATGCGAATCCTAGGCTGTAACTCTGCAACCAGAGCGTCGTCGGGGGAACATATCCTAACCTTATCGATGTTATTAAAGGATATACAGAGGACCGGTTCTTCTGCCTTCCTCATCGCTCCGCTAGGCTTACGGAAGATCATAAAGGAGGTCTCGGCAAGCCTACCAGTGAAGGCAACCTTGGGCATGAGTTCAAATCCCAGCGACCACATCTTTTGCAGTATTTTCCCCATTAAAATATTCACCTCAACCATATCTTCGTACTGCGTCTCCCAAGGGTGACCATTCAGTTCCCATCCATAAGCATTATCACGACCTTCCTCCAACTTGATCCCACGGCTCCAACTCTGCCCAATAACCAACCCCAATTCCTGCTGTAAGAAGGGATCCAGGAATTCTCCTGGGCTCGGGAATATCCTTATAATACCGCCACCATCAAGATGCATACCCACATAGGTTCCCCTATCCTTCGGAGCATCAGGAGGTGGTATACGTAGCAGCAGGCTCGACTTACAGCCTAGGTTCATAGACAACATCAGACTCCTATAGTGCCTATACCCAGCCTTTCGTTCCAGTTCCGTAAGGACACCCAGAAGAGTCTGTCTAGCCGGGACTGTGCGGTTTTCACCAGCAGAGAAGGGGGAGCCAGCCAGCTGGAATTGATAAGCCCCACTGTAGTCAGTTTCACTGCTGATTTGCCATGAATTCACAATACCTTGCCTCACAGCCTCTTGAACCGTATACTGCTGATTAGGCTCTTCCTGAGGACTCATAACAACACGTAAGTCGTTTTTGTCATGAAGGCCGATGAGGATATCCCTCCGGGGACTACGAACTGACATCTGATCAATTTTATGAAGCACCCAAACTTGCACGAAAAATGGCCTGGACATATCAATATCATCCAAAATACCCCAACCAGCTTCCCTCAAGCTCTCCACGATGTTCACAGCATATCTTCTCACATCCACTGTGCTCTGCCCATGGGCCGCCCAGATCCACTTATTGAATTCAAATTCGTGCAAGCCATCAGCCTTACTACATTTCTTATCTTTCTTAATGAGACTCTTATCGACAGCTCTCCGAACAGCCTCCAAGACCTCTTCTGGACACTTATACGCATATATACGACTATTATGGGCGAGGACCAGAGCTGAGAAGCCTTGGGAAGTAGGAGTGTTGGGCTGGGGATCATGGAATCCTTTAACCCCACCAAAACCGATGCGGAGTTGGTTGAGTTGACGCGTGTCGATGCCGAAGATCGACACGCCCACGGGAGAACTGTTGCCCATTCAAGACGGTAATAGTATCCTGTAGATCATCGGAGACAAAACCTACCCATACAAACCAACGAAACACGAATCATTTTAGTTCGAATTTGAACACTTAGAAGAGTCGAATTAAAGTGCTTCAAGAATGCACTCCGTGAATACCGTATCTTACCATAAGGGCCATCAGATACGTGTGTGCGTAAAATACATAGCAGCAGCATCCAGCTTGGACTGGCTATTATCGGTGCCGACCTGCTTCCTTGACACGTCGAGCGAAGTCCTCAGAATCCATCCCTGTCGATACAGGACATCCAATAAGGCCAAAAGCACAGTACCGCAATACAAAGTGTTATGGGCATTAGTATGTGTACAGAAGGGACGACCATCCAGCTTCATCTGCAAGGATCGGCCGTAGCGACCGAAACGCTTGACAGGGTCAGCAGATAGAGCCGGTCTCGTCATAGCATTCCGCACAAACCCCTCGAGGTTATCTACCACCGTCTCGTCCGTGCACGTTATTCTGATATCGTCAGTATCATGTAGAGAGACCCCCAGCACGGGCTCGTTAGGGGGCAGAGGAACATTGCCTTGTCGAGGCCTTCTGAATACCATTAAGGACATATCGGCCAGCTTGCCATTGCAGTCAATCTTAGGCGAAAGTTCGAATCCCAGCGACCACATCCCCTTCAACATCCTCCCCACCAAGATCCTCGAATCGACCAAATCAGTACCATGAGCGTCCCAGGGCAACCCGGCTAGCTCCCATTCATAAGCCCCGTCGTACACCCTCTCCTGCTGAATGCCCTTAGGCCAGGCTTCCACTATCGCACTGCGGAGAGTATCCTCCACAGTCTCATCCAGAGAGTCCCATGGGGGGCTTATCAAACGTACGACATTTTTATCATTCAGACTGACACCAACGTAGGTCACCTCGCCATGCTTGCTAGCGTCGTCATGATATCGGAAGATGATACTGGATTTACCCGACGTAGCCGCCGACAAGTTCAACGACTTCGCCATGCGATAACCCGTAGCCTTCTCTATCTGGGCGCACATCGCTACCAGCATCCTCCTAACTTTCACAGAATCCTCGACTTTAGTCCCCATGCAGCCAAATGGCCATCCATCCAATACAAACTCATGAGCACCGCCATACTTTCCTTCCTTGACGATTTCCCAGGAAGATTCAATACCGAGTCGAACAGCTTCAGTAATCGCATGTACACGACCAGGCTCATCATCACATGTGATACGAATGCTATCACCGCCATGCAGACCCACCAGGAAATCTTTATGACGAGGCCTCTCAATATCAGAGTCACTACGCCTCAAAACTAACATTCGAAGATACCCCGACCTAGACATGTCCACGTCTTCAAGGATCTCCCAGCGCACTGCATCTAGCTCCTCTATCAATCTTAATACCATCCGGCGGACTTCTACCGTCTTCTGGCCATTGGACATCCACAACCAACTGTCGAGCTTGAACTTATACAAGCCCTTAGCCTTGGTGGAAGGCCCATCTCCCCTCAAATGCTCCTTTCCCAAGGCATTCCGGACGGCTTGTTTAACCTCTTCCGGACACTTCAAAGTATACAGTGCTTTGAAACCACACAGAGCAATGACACAAAGGCCCTGAGAGGTAGTCCTGTCCGGGGACGGTTCGTACAGCCCCTTCAAGCCGCCGCAACAGACCGAACCCATGTAACAAAAATTAACTACAACCAATGAAATAAAGCCCGTCGTCGAACACTAGAGGAATGCTATAGAAAGACAGTTCCAGAATCTGATAAGACTAGCCCCAACCATGAAGCAGATACAGTCAGATGAATAAGAATAAGAAGTTAACTAGGAGGCGCCCATTTGAAGGGGCACTCCCCCCAAAGAGGCGTACTGCGTCCTGGTTTAATTAGGACGATCCTCCTTACTCCAATGCCCCATCTCATCCGATACGTATTCCTCTAGGTGGGGCAACTATGCCACCCCAATATGCACATCGGCACAATCAATTTGTTCGAGTAAGGCAACTATGCCCTCATATAGGTCTCAATAGATTCAATTCCTCGAGGCGGGGCATCCTTATTACCCCAACATATGCCTCAGTGCGATTATTCCCTTCAAGCGGGGCAACTATGCCACCCCAAGATATTACTCAGTGCAATTAATTCCGCAACCTCACAGCATAAGACGACCCGAACGATTCTCCCCACCGGAGTAAGGCCAATCTCGACTAACAGTAGAGATCAATTTCGCTATTAGTATAGCCAATCTTACTTGGGGCAGATATGCCATACCGCGACTAGAACGAACAGCTGATCTTAGGCTGGCTCATGTCGATACCGGAGAGTCGGCGAGAGTTTCCATAGGTGAAGGAATACTGAGCTGGACTTGCCAAATGCAGTATATTCATCCGAACTAACGAAACACGCTTCAAGCTGCTGCATTAATATGGACATCTATAAATTCATTGCCCGCCATCACATGAAATCACAGGGATTCAATGCCTGTCACACCAAAGGGAACACTAGGTACGAGCTTTCGTGAAATACATGGTAGCAGTATCAAGCTTATACTGCTTCTTATCATCAGCATAGTACTTCCTAGATACGTCAGGCGCTGTCCTCAAGACCCATCCTTGCTGATACAGAAGATCAACTAAAGCCAATAGGACAGTACCACAGTAGAGAGCATTATGGGAATTAGTGCACGTATGGAAGGGGCAGCCATTCAACTTCATCTGCAAGGATCGGCCGTAGCGACCGAAACGCTTGACAGGGTCAGCAGATAGAGCCGGTCTCATCATAGCATTCCGCACAAACCCCTCGAGGTTATCTACCACCGTCTCGTCCGTGCACGTTATCCTGATATCGTCAGTATCATGTAGAGAGACCCCCAGCACGGGCTCGTTAGGAGGCAGAGGAACATTGCCTTGTCGAGGCCTTCTGAATACCATTAAGGACATATCGGCTAGCTTACCACTGCAGTCAATTTTAGGCAGGAGTTCGAATCCCAGCGACCACATCCCCTTCAACATTCTCCCAACCAAGATTCTCGAATCGACAGTATCAGTGCCATATGCATCCCAGGGCCGCCCAGACAGTTTCCATTCATAAGCCTCGCCGTACATCCTCTCTTTCTGGATGCCCTTGGGCCAGGCTTCCACAATCGCCTTGCGGAGGGTATCTTTTATAGTCTCGTCCAGAGAGTCCCATGGTGGGCTTATCAACCGCACATCATCTATGTCATTCAGGCTGAGACCAACGTAGGTAACTTCACCGCAATCCCTCGAGTCCTCATAATACCGAAAGACCATACTGGACTTGCTTGCCTGGCCTGCCGATAAGTTTAACGACTTCGCCAAGCGATAGCCCGTAGCCTTCTCTATCTGAGCGCACATCGCCACCAGCATCCTCCTGATCTTGACAGAATCCTCGCCGTTCGCGCCCAGCGTTCCGAAAGGTCGTTTATTCAACACAAACTGATGAGCTCCGCCATACTCGCTTTCTCTGGAAATCTTCCAAGACGATTCAATACCGAGCCGAGCAGCTTCAGTAATCGCATGCACTCGGGTAGGCTCATCATCACATATAAAACGGAGATCGTCACTACCATGTAGGCCAACCAGGAAGTTCTTGCGGCGACCCCTCTCGAAATCATCGTCACTGCGCCTCAAAATTAACATTTGGAGGTACCCGGATCTGGACATGTCCACGCTCTCAACGATCTCCCAGCGAACTTTTTCCAACTCTTCTATGAAGCTCAATACCACCCTGCGGACCTCCACAGTCTTTACCCCATTAGCCATCCACAGCCAGCCCCCCAGCTTGAACTTGTACAGGCCCTTAGCTTTAATGGACGGCCCATCACTCTTCAGATGCTTTCTCCCCAGAGCGTTCCGAACCGCCTGCTTGACCTCTTCCGGACACTTGAGAGTGTAGAGCGCCCCTAGACCACAGAGGGCAATAACACAAAGACCCTGAGGGGTAGTCTTGTCCGGATGGGGCTCGTACAGCCCTTCAAGGCCGCTGCAACAGACGCAACCCATTCAATGAGAAATAACTACATGCGATAGAACAGGATTTCTTACCAAACACTGAACGAATGTATCACTGTTCCATGATCTAAATGGATAAAGTGAAACCTACACGGGGCACGAACGAGGTGTACCCAGGTTACTAAGACAATACAAGGTTGAAAAATTCACGCGGAATGCGCTTTGAGAAAGTATAACGACGATAAGTCCTGCTTCTCAGTTTCATTAGGACGATCCTTCCGAGTCCGATGCCTCACTTTACCCGATATGTCAAGAGAGGCCTTCACCTCCCAGCCCAGCTCATTCAAAGCATCTACTATAGTTAGGAGAATCAACCCGGCAGCCAGAGCGGTTCGAGAGCTAACTATGCCTTGAAACGGCAATCCATATAACTCTAGCTCAAATGATCTACCGTACCAACGTGAACTTTGGACCACATCTACCGACAAGCTGGGAGGGGCCAAGCTTGCACGCACGCGCGAGGATACTTCCTGAACCACCATAGAGTCAGTACTTGATAATCTGACTCGGTCTTGCCTGTGAAATGACAGGCAGAGGACTGGTGGAGGTGGGAGAATTCGTAGGGCCATCGGAGGCTTGCGAAATACCATGAAGGACAGGTCAGCAATTTTCCCGCTGCAATCGACTCCAGACCTGAGTTCGAATCCCAGTGAATACATTATTCCGATTATTCTCCCCACCAACACTCTAGCATCGACTGTATCGGCACCATCAGCCAGCCATGGATATCCCTTCAGCTTCCACTCATAACTACCTCCATACATACCCTGCCTCTGGATACCTCTGGGCCACGCTTCAACAATAGCTCGACCAATTTCGTCACGCGCCACGAAATCCATCTCTTGGCCAGGGGCCATAACCAGCCTTATATCATCCCCATCATTAAGACTCACCCCCAGGTAGCTTTCATGCCTTCTACTACGAGGGTCACTACCATTATCAGATAGAGTCTTGAATACCAAACTAGCCTGAGATCCCTTACGAGTCGATAATATAAATGAATTGTGTAAAACATACCCTTGAGCCCGCCCGAGCTGGTCACATATTCCAAGTACCATCTCTCGGACTGCTACCGTGGATTCCCCACTAGCACAGAAAGGGTTACCCGACAACTTGAACTCATACGAACCACCATACTCAGACTCTTCGGATATTTTCCATGCCCTCGAAATACCCTCCCGAATCGCATCTTGGACTGCATTAACTCTAGTACCGTCATCCATGATCAACATCCTCACATCATCAGTATCATGAAAGCCCACCATAAGATGCCTTCCTGGCGCTGACCCAGAGCGCCGTCTCAAAACCCATCCTCGCAAAAACCCAGAGCGAGACAAATCGACCTCGACTGCGACCTCCCAGCCAACTTCCTCAATCGCCGCAATAATATTCATAACAATCATACGAGTCTTCACAGTGTCAGTCCCGCTGCTCAACCACAACCATCTCGTTAAAGTGAATTTTTGTAGCCCTTTCGCCTTAGCTGAGAGCCCATTCCTTTTGATAGCTCCAGGACCCAACGCTCCCCTTATGGCTGCCACTACCTCCTGTGGGCATTTCAGGGTGTATATATGGTCTTGGTCTGATAGGAGTACAAGGCTCAAGTCTTGAGGGGTCGGAAGAAAAGGTGTATCCACCGATAGTGAGGAAAGGACACTATTACCCATGACTAACGAATACCTGATAAACGTACGTAGAGACCCCATCCCTCAACGCGACCTCTTCGGGAAGTGACCAAGTTACGGTATGGGAGCTACAACTGTGAGTTAAATCCCCACATCTCACCGGACGTCATTCACATAATGAGCACCGGAAGATAAGTCCAACCTCAATAAACTTCCCCACTACATGTAAAACTTAGATGCGTAGTAGACCCTTCTTAGTCGCTCCACAACTACCTCAGAGGACCCCCCCCTAGCTCCTCAATGGTGTCAAGAATCATGAATACGCCTTTCACTGGCATAACATTCGAAAGAGAGTTCTCCCCCGGTAGTTTTACCCCCAAAAAACGAATCATAATATTCCTCAAAAAGAGACTCTACTCTACCCCCTACAATGAGCTCAGTTTCCTATCCCCTCCCCCCAGTAGTAGTAATACCATCAAGTCTCCTCTTTATAAATTGTCAATCCACAGGGGCTGTTCAATCGAGTGACGAGACACTCAGAAAGAACATTCTCGCTCGCCCCAAAAATGTCCGTCAAGGCGTTGCATAGTAGAGGCATTTTTGGGGATACTATGCGTTTACCGCGAGTACCACTTTGGTTAAAAGCACCATTCATACTGTTATGGCATGTAGGAGATTTATATCTGAAAGCCACACCCGGAAGTCTCTTTTTTTCAGATTCCTAGTCGGATTGGATATCGAGTTGGAAGGTGTTTCGATTTATCAATTAAATTGATGGGACCAGCCTTAGTGAGGAATATCTTTCTAATCGTAGGAGGGCTATGTTGACCTCAAGATACTTTTGGCGTTCTCCCTATACGGTTTTTGTACCTACACCTACTTCGCGGTAATCGTCTACTATTACAATACAGCTTGGGTCTGGTCAGGGGCTACGGCCATTGGCCTCTTCCTGCTAATCAATATGATATACAACTATGTCAAGGCAGCCAATTTTACAGTTTTTCTATCAGAATGTGTACACCTTGTTTCAGGCCGCGGGGACCTCTCCTGGAGTGCCCCCAGTGTGCGATCCCGAGGCCCCATCCGGGAGCGAGAACGGTAGTTTGAGGAGTCTCGAGTGAAATGGGCAGTTGTGTCTCCTCAGATGTCGAAGAGCTTGCCCTTAGGAATGCATTACAGCTACGGTTGGCCAAGAATGGCAGAGTCTATCAAGGATATGCTAATAATGACAGTTCTGGTAGGTCTTGGGGGAGTTACTTCTAATGCGACATTTCAGTTGGGCCTCAAAGGTTCGTGCTGGGGTCTTCATCTTCGTCGTTTTGTTTTCTTTACCTGAATCCATCTCCCCACGAGGGGAAAAAAGAGCGGTCACACATGACTTAAATCTGCTACAGTGCTTATGCGTTTCCCATCATCAGCTGTTGGTTCGTCTCAATACGTGATGATCTCAGATGATGACGGCCCAGCAAAGCCCCCTCCACCCTCCTCTCTGACGGCTCCCTTTCCGCTGTGTCGGAAGTGCAACCGGTAGTTGCGGGTGGGGCACCCTGTTGTACTCGAGGTGTGGTATCATCAAGTAGCGAGTAATATTACGTATATGAATAGTACAATGAGGCGGAAGGCATGCCTGTTATCGATTAATACTCGTCTGCTAGTGTGTGTGATCAATTATGTCATGGCGGGGCGCGGTAGGAGCTCTTTCTTTAGATATAAACCGGCCCGAGCCCACCACTGTTCAGTGTGTAAAGTATGCGTACTGAAGATGGACCATCACTGCCCATGGCTGAACAATTGTGTAGGGCATCGGAATTACAAGTAGGTGGATATTATGCTTGGGAGTATGTGGAGAATACATCTATTCTCCATTATCCATTATCCATAGTGATTGGCCGTGAAGGACATGACCTGGCCAAATTGTCGTCTTGGTGGGTTCATTTTCCCAAGGGTAGCTGTTGATCACATGAGTATGATACCGATTCTAGGGCGAGATCTAATGTCATGGATTTGGAGGCCACGACTACGTACATTTCAATTTCTCACTTTTTTTCCTCTTGCGCAGCACCCCTTCGATCAGGCGAGTAATAGCCAGCATAGAGGTATAGCTGCAGGCTCAGTCCCTGCTGACTGAGCCTGCAGTATGAACCGGTAGATAGCGTGTTACACGGCAGAAAGTTCGATAAATTTCTCACTAATATGCCAGTATGCTATATAATTGCAATACATAATATTACACGGATGTATTACGTGTATTACGTGTATTACGTGTATTACGTAGTACGTTAATGTTACAGTACTATTACAGTACTATGCCAATTGCATATCATATATTCGGTCTCATACCCCCCCTAGAGATACTGTAATCCTTTTATATATCGTGTCCTTCCCACCAAGGTACTTTTACCTCTTCCTACTCTACCTAGAGTTATGCTGCCTTTTTGTCATTCTGCTGTTCTTCGACCCTTTCAATGCGGCGATGTTCCCAGCACGAGGAGCTCCCCGATGGGACATCTCCATTGCCTACAAACAGGTGATAATTTCGTGGCGCGCGAAATGATTCCAGGCTCCTTCTGTTCAGGCAGTAGCTATGTCCTTCGTCATATGTCTGGCGATAGCCATTGCGGTTGGTACTCTCCTCGGCTTTCACACTTACTTGGTGTTAACCAACCAGACCACAATAGACTTCCAGTCCAACGTACAGGAGGCTCGACTGGCAAAGCAGCAGGGGACACTTTTCATGTAATATGGCGAGTTGTGGTAAGGGCAGCTCATCGTGGTCGGTTGACAGTAACCCTTTCAACCTTGGGCGGTCCAGAAATTTCCACCAAGTATTTGGAGACTATACTTTTTGTTCATTCCGGTGGATGATACCGTGGGCTAATTCGAAGGTGAGTTGTCACGCGCCACGAAATTATGAAGATTTGTTATTTTCAGCCGGCCCCGAACTGTGATGGCTACATCTGGCCGACCATTGGTGCTAGAGGGCCTCCGCGAGGAGACAACCGCAGAAGCGCTCATCGTCACAACAACATTCCCCCGGTTTCTGACAACCCTGCAGAGTGAGTCTACCCGTACATATGACACAGTTTACTTCCCCTGCGTGTTGCGTATGTAATCGACACTCTTATCGGGGATGTGGTGGTAGTAGTTATCAATAGTAGTGATGTCCATCTCTGCCCTATCAGCTATTGAGAGGTTATGAAGGTAGTTCAATATAGGACGAATTAAAGCAAGTCTACCAGCGAGAAAGGTAGTGATAGTCCCTATCAGCGGATGTCTGGGCGGAATCTGAAGAGGCGGAGCGATGCTATTTGGTTTTTATGACATCCGAGATGTGGATCTCATCAGATGTAGGTGGTGTATAAGGGTGCGTACCACTCCTTTTGTACATCGTCCGCCAGGTATGGTGGCAGCTGGACTACACCTACTATCGTCGTTTGGTAAGAGGCACTCTAAAGTGTCCTCCTCTGCTCTCCACGAGATACTCCCTGCAGAGCTCAGCCATCATTATGTGATTGATGACTATTCCAGCACTAGACGCGAACACCGACTCGTTACTGTGTCACACAGAGCTTACAATCCTAGGTGGAGGATATCAAGGACTCGCAGTAGAATGATGCGGCTGTTCTGAGAAGGCTTATGGGGACTAGCAGTTAAGAGCAGGAGGAGCTCGAAGGCGGCCATCGGATGATCCATACGTACATGTAGCGTGT